CTAATTCACCATCGCCATCGAGATGCATGTACAGAGGCGCGTATAGGCCATAAAGTGTAGCTGCAGGCAAGAGTGCTGGAACAGACCTGATCAGCGCTGTGTGGAGGTGGTAGGAGGGATGTTGAAGGACTTGAGGCGTTGCATGGCATTAATATGCGTTAGAGATAATGTCATCTTATTTACCGCAAGCTAATCCTGATAGTGTTTTGATGCTGTATTTTTGGATGTTTATTTGTGTTTTTGTTGTGGGTTAGAGTGATGAAGTACAGCCGTGTTACACTAATGAAGACCTACTGACGTAATAGGATATCTTTTTTCCTCAATTTCTGCCACACAAAGCTGAATATGTGCTATCATTCTGCATTTTCCACACTCACGATCGCTTTATTCTACTACAAAAACAAATAGGTTTAGTATATTCCTATTGGAAACTGTCAGATAAATACCTTGATTGTCTTAAGAGGAAATAATTTGGGTATATGGCCAATTTGCTGAGTTACTGATTAAGATTGAGAGCTGATTCGCAGTGTGCAGTGTGGCAAAAGCCATCCGAATATTTCTTGACTGTCCTCCTCTTCTCTCTCTAAGCAGCCCTCCTCCATTCACCTTTCTTATTAAGTTTATTAAAGCCAGTCCACATACTGTGTTTCCCAGGTCCAGTTCCTATTCCCATTCATTACAGTACCTTATCCTGGCAGGCAATCTGAAGGGTGCTCTGAATAGTCCATTATGCACATATGAAGGCCATCATGGCTCCAGTATTGGTCAATTCATCAAACATTTATCTGTTGCCTTCTGAACAGGACGTCATTATGCCTGTCACTCTGTAGCTCTGGCCCCCAGTTTAGAATAACAGTGCATTGCTTTTTTGCACCGCTGCGACCCTTTAGAGAACATCAGCCTTTAACTGTGGACTGCAGCTGCAAGGGCTCTTCGGCTTTTAAAAGTGTTTGTGTTTTTTCCTAAGTACATTGGACTCAGTAACTTTTTCAGTATTGCAGTGCTAGATGAAAGGCTGTTTCCTCTGTGATCTATATCAACATTTTAGTAAAGGGGTGAACTTTGAGGTTGTTTTACATTAAAGCTCTGTTATGTACGCCCAAGACAAACTCCATTTGACCTTTGTTATTCGGAGTTTCCAGAAATGACCAACTATAATTCATTTAAGCAACAGTTTCAAAAGCAGCAGACATAGGATGGGAGAGACTTTGTGACACATGTAAAAGAGCCAAGGCTGCCGTTCTCCATTATTCATCTGCTGCATGAGGATATATGACATGACACTAGCGCAAACCATTGGCAGGAGTGACTGACATTTCAGCCAATAATAGTCGAGAGTTTTCTTCCCTCTGTTGTCAGCAGTGGTTCATCAATCACGATGTCTGCATTAGTATTAGTGTATTGATCTGGCAGGGCTGCTCTCTGGGTCAGTGTCTCCTCTCCAGTGTCCTTGTCTGCTGTCTCACATCCTTCCCGGCTTCCTGTGCCGAGTTTCTGCTCCAGCTAAATATTGGTATATGTACTGTGTGTGCTCAGTAGACATGATCTTAGCAGATAATGGAGATTTTAACACATACATGCACTACTTATGTAAGCTCAAAAGCACACAGTGATGCACACAGGACCGTATGATGTTGAGCTTACACAGGCTAAGTGGTAGTCAAAGCGTAAAGACGTGTGACGTATTAGCTCTGACAATGAGGCTGATCATAATTATCTTAACAAGGAGAGGATTCATCGCCTCACCTCGTTAAGGCTACCGCCTGTCTCTGTCTCTCTCTTTCTGGTTAGAGGGTTAGGAAAAATGCATTTGATCACACGTTACATGTGAAATGATTATTTTCTAAATTTGTGCAATACGGCAATGCAATTTGAGCAGAGGGTCAATTATTTTTCATATAGTATTTGTACGATTCTGTCTATTTGTTTAGTTAAAAATATAATGCTCATAATTTGTTATTGCTTGCGATATACATAAACATAAATGACTTCCAGTTTCATAAAGGAACATAACATTAGATGTTTGTAATATCAGTAGTATCGCAGTGGAGTTTAAGATATATTACTGAATAGTTTCCCTATTTTCTTTAGGTGAATAACAACAAATTAAGCTACCATTATAAAAACATACAATATTTGCCATTTATCAAATCTCTACAGAATTTGGCCTCAAGTCAATTATGTCCATTAGTTTTGTTAAAAGCATAAGCAGCTATTTTTCCTTTTATTTTTTTAAGTAAAGTACTTTTACTGCAGTGCTTAAACTTTGTTAGTTTTCCAAGCCTACACATTAAAACAAGAAAGCTTATAAAAAGTAATGAAACCAGCTAAGGAAATCTGCAGAGGGAGCACAGAAAGCTGGAGAGTATTAGAAGTTCAATCCCGGCACTGTAGTTAATGCTGGATGGGAATCAGTGGCTCTCCCCTGGCTGTGAATTTAACTGATTAAATCAGCCAGTGCACGCAGCAGTGGTGACATGAAAACAACAATTAATAAGGCTCCCTCCTGTGCCATGCGGCTCCCTTTAACCGAGCAGCTAATAACATAACCCACAGGACTGCAGCCCCTCGTACACACACACACACACACACACACACACACACACACACACACACACACACACACACACACACACACACACACACACACACACACACACACACACACACACACACACACACACACACACACACACACACACACACACACACACGTACACACACGTACACACACACACACACACACACACACACACACGTACACACACACACACACACACGCAGGTGGCAATAGTTAGTTAGCAATCTCTGTTAACAGAAAATGCAATAATGTTTGTGCCCAACTACAGATTGCCATAGATTATATTTGCAGATTAATTGGATGTTGTACCGAATCCCCTATCAATGCAAAAACAATCACTGTGCTGAAAAATAAAGTTTGTTTTTTAAATAGCTAGTTTGAGAAAACAGCCCTGTCAAAAAACAGAAGAAGTATAGTAGCATAAGATGATACTAACAATTATAGATTGTGCATTACTTTAGCTAGCATTTATTTTTAAATCCAAGACAAACAACAGTATAATGACCAAAGAATAACTAAAAAGGCAAAAATGATAATGAATATTCTTTAGTTTTAAGTATAGCTTTCCCTGCCTAATGGGCCTTTTTGCCTTTTATAAATGAGAGGCAACATGGGGAAAAACAGGCAAACAGAGTAGGATTTCATAAAACTGGCACATCTCTTTGTTCATCCATTTTGCCAGCGCATTAATCAGACCTGATAAGCGGTTGTCAGCTAGCGGCTTTGCCAGCACACTGGCTAGGTGCTGTCAACGGTTGTGGTTGATATCAAGTGTGCGTGTTTGCAAAATGTTGATGTCTTCTGAAACGAGGCAGCTCACTCTGCGTCGTTCCCCATCCACAGTAAATTGCTTATTTGTCGTTTTCTACACTGCTACAAAAGCTGCAACATTTTGCTTTGTAGTTCAAAGTTGTTGCCAGTGTGTCCACTCCGTGCATCAGTCTGTGTTTTTAGGGAAGGGTCGAAGTCTAGGTGGAGTACAAGTTGAGAAAGCACACAAGTAACAGCAGATGGAGCATGAAAACAGTTTGTCTGGCTAGCTAAAAGTGCGGAATAAATGCTCGTCACTGACCAATAAGTTTGACAACGTAATAGATCAAGGTGTATTTTTGTACACTACATTATATCACAATTACTCATCATCTGTTTCCTTCATTTGGCAGCATATTGTTATGTTTCCATTATAATTGTGACTGTAAATTACGCCATCCCCATCTGCACTTAACTGCTCCTTGCTATTCATTTGCAGATTGTCGTGATAAAGTGATATTTCTTAAAGTTGATGTGTATTAAGGCAGCTGTTCACACAAGTCAGATCCATAGAGGAGTAATATTTCATGCTGCACATGTTAAGACCTCACAGTACCTTGAGTTTGTCATGTTGCAATGTGACCCTGTTGACTGGAATTTATATTGACGTAACCTAATGTCCAAGATATGTCTGCTTTTTAAAACTATAAACATACTATACTTATAATGTAGCATTTTGAAATGTAGCTTGGAGTAAATATTGACTATATGGAAATTATGAAATAATTAAAAATGTTGTGTAATATTAAAAATACCTATTGTGTGAACCGTGAGGAATAATTCTTGAAGTATATGTTCAGTATGTGTCAAGTTTTGGCAGATTTAAATGTCAATTAAGTCACCCAGGACACTTTACCATGGCATTCTGACAGTGTGAAGGATTAGACAACACACACATTGCTTTCGTGCACCTTCCATGACTTGAACTTTGCAGGGCCCTAACATTACTCCTAAAACCACCCTCCATCATTTTTATGCCTGTGTGAATGTGTATGTGTGAGAGAGAGAAAGAGAGGGAAACAGTTGAGATGACCCTACAGCCCTCGTTGCAATTTGTCATAAAAAATAAGCGGAAAGGCAAAATTCTTCCTTTAAAAAAAACCATCCTTTGATCTTAAAATCCCAACACTAACCCCTATCGCGGTAGAGTTGCAAAAAAGTTTCCCTTCCATTCCATCTGTGATTGCATGTGTATTCCGGTTCCTCTGTGAAAATGATGGATGACAAGTTAAATTTGTGTCTGGGGAGTGAAGGTGAACTGTGACAGAGTGATTTGTCTTGGGAATGGAGGGTTAGGGTCAGGCGAAACTGGGCGCCTCAAGGCACAAGACATTGACAAATTCATCCTGCCCGCCGCATTTCTGAAGCCTTTTGTTTTGAATCCTGGCTACTCACAAGTGACCCCCATCCCTCATCCTGCCAGCTGCTGAAGGATGCCTCACCATGCCAGGGGAGCTCAGCACCACTAATTCTTGTCATTCACTTCCCTGACAGGCCCAGACCCATACTTTCCCGGCGTATGAAAGAGGCTGAAATATTTATTTCTGCACAATAACGGCTGACCAGATTTAGAACCATAACAGTTGTTCCTGTTGCCTTATCATTGCAGGTCACTGGCGGGCCTCGGAACGTTCACTGAGCTGGAAGAGCTGATCGTTGACAACAATCTGCTTGGAAATGACCTCCTGTTGCCCAGGTTACCCAACCTCCACACCCTTACACTCAATAAGAACCAAATATCCTTTCAAACTAATCACTTAGTCCATTTCTCATTTTGATTTGCAGCCGACTACGCAGGCATATATCACAGGGATCAGTATCAAAATCAATAGTGTGTTTTGTTAACATTCATATGTCAATACAGCCCGCCTTTGTCTCAGAGAACCAGTTTTTTCATGTTGTGCTTTTGCAGGGAGCACTGTGTGTTGCAAAAGAGAGTAGAGGAACTCGCTGTCACCGAGCTCCACACAGGACGAGTTTTTGAACCACAGGGACCTCTAGTGGAATCAGATTTTAGAGTCAACATAACAGATGTGTTTTATTTTGAAAGAAGATCAAGTGTTAGATTAAAACTACATTAAAAAAATGACACACGATGTTGTGTGATTTGTTTGTCTGGTAATATCAGTTATTATAAATTATAGTGAATCAAGTAAGGATTTTATTTTTCATCAGTTGCTTCATTCTTTATACTATGCGTTACCTCGCTAAAATTAAAATGAATAAGTTATTTATTATGTGACTAAATGCACATTTTCTCATTCAGGCTCATTGATTACAACGATGCTGTGTGTTCTACCTCCCACCCAAAGCGAACACTATAAACCAGAACTCGGCACAGCCACCCTAAATTCAAGACATGCAAGGCTGTTTATGATCAGTCAAAAATGTGTGAACTTCCCCTCTACGCTTCAGAACAGGTTTAGCAATGTGTCCTGTTTTCCTCTGGTTATGCAGATCCTACTGGGTAACGATGTTCACTCCCGCACACTACACACACACACACACTTCCAGAGTCAACATTAAAACTGGGGCTCCTTGAAGTGTGCGTCTGGGACTGTGTGCTGAGTTTGGTTGTGAAGTGGTCGGCACATGCTAATAGGCCAATTATGTACATCCTGTCGTGGCACAGTGCCATTTTAAAGCTCGAGCACTGCATTAGTGCAGTTGTATTTTGACACTTTGGGGCTCAATTTTCCAAGTGAATGTATTAGTGATGAATGTGCCTGCTTAGGGGCTGTTTGTTTTTTCCACGTTTCGCAAAAGTTTTCCACAGCAAGGCTCTGGGAAGCACGGACTGTTTGAACCACAGGGCATCCATCATTTTGTCACTGTTCTGCACCCGGCCACCTAGGAAATGAAAGAGATCGAGAGAAAGGGAGAGAGAGCAGCAGCCAAATTGTGTCACTACTATATGCCAAAGCCTGCACCTTAAATTGCCCCTCTGTCTGCCCAGTCTCACAAAGCCAGTGACTAGCCCCTTTGAGCACCTCGGTAAATTTGACAGTGACGTGTTTTAGTGCAGACAGGCCCGGGAGGGGCGGTGCGGGTAGTAAATGCTAATGTAATTAACAGTGCTAGGTCCTTGACATCCGCCCTTTGACACCTGACTGATATCGAGGCCCTGCTGGAACACTTGGCTGATGTGACCCCGTCACTGAAGTACCTAAGCCTGCTGGGAAATGAGGCCTGCCCCAACCAGCTGGTCAGCCCGGATAAGGACGAGGACGACTACCAGAGATACAGGTCAGTAACAACATCCACTGTGCTGATGTAACACATAAATAAGAAAAAGAAACTACTGTGACCCGTTTAGATAGATGGATAGATACCGTTCCGTGTCTCTGTGTTTATACTTTCAGTCAGACAGTTTTGATGCTAAGCTATTCAGAGTGATAGCTTTTTGTAAGTAATGGATTTGGAGATGTTCCTTTTTTTAACATCCAGCCCCCTACATTTCACAGGCAGACTGTGGATTTAACCACATCACTCTAAAAGCTTTGTCAACTGGCCCCTCTACACTGCATTTTGCAAAATGGATTTCATGTGTGACTAGTCACCACCACAAATGAGTGTTTACTACCCTGCCTTACCAGAGCAGATGATGCATTAAACATCAAGCGAGGCCTCAAGCCATGCAATATGACCACCATTTGTCAGGGTCCTTTACATGAAATGCGATAAAAGGCGAAAAGCATACTCTCTTTTGTCTGTTTTAGCCCTAAGTGCTTGTTTCTGACTCTGCAATGCTTATTAATCATTTACCACCCATGCCTTTCTTGAATAATCTTTCTTCTCTCTTTTTGTCTACCTTTTTTCCCCCCCAGCCCCCTCTCTCACTTTCCCCTCCCCTCCTCCCCCGTTCCCCTCTCCTCGCATGCTTATCTTGCTGGTGAGGAAAGCTGTTCTGTTTTGACTGACAACGTCTAGGGTCCTGTAATGTAATATTCATAATGTGTCACATAGTAAAACATCAATTTGAGCGTGATGCAGATTTCATGTCTGACAAGGTTAGGCTGTATGCAGGTCGTGACAGCACTGGCCTTGGGCAATAAATACCCAGCCCAATGCCTCGGGAGCTTTTGGTCTCTCAAGTGAAATACCCTGGTGCGTTGCATCGGTGCCCCAATTAGTGCAATGACATAGAAACAGAGTATTCGTTCACACAGTATTGTGTAGTGTGCGCCGAGGTTAAATGTTGTCCTGTTCTGAGCCGACCATGCGTACGATCAGTGGCCATTTACAGTACTACAATAACACATGAGTTTAAGGCTGTTATATTATATTATACCACAATGGTTACTGATGATGTGGCATTGTGCTTACAGGAAGCTGTCTCCTCACAAAACGTCTCATCTCATTCTCTCTGTTTCTGTGATGTTTAAAGATTAACATATTTTAATGTGACATTTTAACCTCTTATCTTGAGGAAAATTATCAGTTTGTTCAATCTCCTTTTGTGGCAGATCAAAGAGTTTTTCCCTGCGGCGCCTCACCAGCAGCTGCACTTTGTGCTCACTCAACCTTCTTTTCTAAATGCTTTAAATGCAGCCGCAGAATTGTTATTTAAAAAGGCTATAACTATTATGTTTTTACTTTTTCTTTTCTTAGATGTTATACTAAGTATAATGACTTAATTTTCTTAGCAGGTTCCATTGTTTCCTAGTGTCTTCATTTCTAATTAACTATTAGTTAAACCTTAACCAGAATTACAAATGTCATTGTATTTAGCATTTACAGACAAAATTACAGTAGAAAACTGAGAAACTATGTTACTATTCAATACAAATACTCAAATAAATACATTACATTTTCCATTACAAATTAAATTAATAAAACGTTTAAAAAAATATATAATTGGGTACCTGATCATTTTCCATATCAATTCAATTATTAAAAAAAGTATTATCAATTAGCATCATTTAGTTGCCTTTAACACAACCGCTTCCAAACAGCACATATTATTATCACATTTTTCGAAAATGGCTAAATAAAGGGTATGAGTCTGAGTTTTTTTTCCAGGCATCTTTCCTCCCCCTACCCCCCTGTGCTCTCTTATCCTCCCTCTTTGGTTGGGTTGAATCATTAATATCCCTACTGGCTGACAGAGCCTTGTCATCTGCTCTGACCCTGTGATGGTAGGTTACCTATGGAGAATAACCTCCCTGCATGTCTCCCAAGGGCATCTTCACATTTCATCATGGAAATGCCCTGAACAAAGTCCTTTTACAGGCAGGGAGACACAGGATGCGATTTGGGCCTCTTGTATTTGAGTGCTACTGCTCTCATAGGAAAAAATGCTCGTATAAGGGGTTAGGAGCAGGTCATTTTACCTTGTAATAATATTCCTATAAGAATACATTCAGAGCCATGTCATAGCGTTTAATCATTTTTGTTGTAGATAAGCACTCTTTATGTTTTCATTTAAAATCAGATCATTCTTAAATTCGCACAGAGATATTTTCTGTTCCGTGTCAGTCTAAACGTTCTCCCAGCATCCCCTCCTTATAATCCTCAGGTGATGAAAACTTGACACGGGCTTTGCCATCTCCCCTCATCGCCATCGCCATCATCAATTTGTCACGGCTCTTTGCGCACAGGTCTTTTCTGTGCCCATATCCCCCGTCCTTTCTCACCCTCCACTTAGGTGCTGCATGCATGTCCTTTTTGGCTACTAGCTCAGCCCTGACATACTGGTTCCTCTATCCCTGCCTGCCTGTGAAAGGATCTGTTGTCATCTATGTATTCCAACCATTATCTTTTGACGTTTCTCTCCCTCCCAATGAAAGACAGAGTGTGTCTGAAAGCTTAGAGAGATATCTGTGATGCTGCCAGAATGACAGCTCTGGCAGACGGGTTGTATCTCCTTTCGTGCTATTTATATGTCGTACTTATTCTTATCAGCTTTGAAGGTTATTACATACAAGAAAATATCACCATTAAATCAGCACCACCATTAAATCTCAGTAAACATGGCTTCTTTTCAAGTTTTGTTGATGCTTGCATTTACATATTAGAATGTGTGTCAGTTTGATTAGTGTGTCACGGTTCACACACTTCCTCAGATTCTCTGTTTGTGTCATTGTCAAGAACAGGCCTACAAGGAGACCTTTTATGGCAGCTGTACGGTACAGTTTTAAGTTGAATTGTTGTTTTCTCACAGATACTTTGTTCTGCACAAGTTACCCCAGCTGAAGTTCCTGGATACCAGGAAAGTAACCATAAAAGAGGTGATGGAGGCGCAGGCAAGAGGAGCATTCATGAAAGTGGTCAAACCCAAGTCGGAAGCTGTAAGTTAAGCTCTGTTTTTTGTGTGTAAACCCCGTTTAAAAAAGTAGTCCCTCTGAAGTCTTGAGTGGATTTGTCACATTCATCCCCTTCTTCCCTTTTCCATTATTTTCCTTTATCCTTCCTTTTTTTCTTGTGCATACTTGACTGTCAGTCTCTCTTTACAAAGGTCCTAACACTGTGGCCCTTTGTAAAGAGGCTCTCTCTACTATCGCTTAAAGTGTATATGTGTGTGTGTGTTATCTCTGAGTGAGCGTGTGTGTGAGTGTGTAACTGTGTGTGACCACAGCCTGACCTGATTCCGTATGCATGAGCCCAGATCAAAGACGACGGCCGGCTGTCCGGTCGCGGTTGTGTTACCAAGTGTGACATGGCTGCCGATTGGAGTGACAGCTCACGTACATGCCGCTCACAATCGCTTAATTATCCCTAGCCCGTGCACTTATTCCTCGCTCTCTTGTTTTGGGCCACACAGACTAATTAGAGTTCGGGAGGTTCATAGATATACCCACTTCACCCCTTTCCACCCCCTTTTTCCCTCCGTCTTCCACCCCTTTGATAATGCAATATAAATGAACGGCTTTTGCCTAGATTTGATTTCATGTAATTGTAAGGTCATGAAATATTTACTCTTTGGATCAGCTAATCTTTGTCGTTTCAAGGTCTCTGGGGCTCTGTCAGTGAGCCCGGGAGGTACAAATGGATCCAGAGTAGCAAGAGCAAAGGCATCAAATGACAAATCAGAAGCATGTGAGTCTGTCGAGTTTAAAAGTGCACGAGGAAAACAAAATATTTATTGTTTGAGACAATCAGCTAAGATAGTGTACTCTTTTAGTGTCAGTTCATGCTATGCTTTGTTCTTGATTCTTGATACAAGTGGCAAGCGGGAAAGCAAAACATTGAAATAATTTAACCTCAGTCTGGCATGTTTGGTAGATAGAGAAAAGTGGAATGAAAACACTGTTCATCCACTTTATATGAAAAAGAAACTAAGGACCTCTACAAGGCTTTTTGGCAGGATAAAGTCACTTCATGAGATTTTATTTACATAGCTTGTCAGTAAAAAATAAATGTTTGCTTTTGTCGCCACAGCCTTAGATGAAAGGAGAGATAATCACTGATTCTAGCTGACATGATGTGTGTGTTTTTCTGTCTTTGTGTCTTTGAACCTGCTGTATATGATTATTTATTCCCTATGCAAACTAAAATGTTACAGCTTTGATAAATACACGTCTACCTTACTGTATTGTGTGTGCTTGAACATACAGTACTTACGATCTTACTTTCAGCAGTTCCTTTTTATCAGAGTCTACACATTGAAGATATTTTTGCCAGGACATATCCCGTGTCTGGGCCCTGGACTGCCGCAGCAGCATTTCCATAACATTTGTTTTGAGTTAGATGAGACGTGATGTGTCAACTATCACAGACTTGATGAGCCATGAGCACCTCCCGGCTCTAATTGTCCACATCATCAGAGTGATTGTAAGCTGACCAATAGTGCGGGCCACCAATTAATGCAACGTCTGCAACAGAAGAGGAAAGCGAGGAGAGATGACGGCATAATTAGATATTTGTGTTTGCTTTTATGTCTGGTACAGCGGGGTGTTGCTCATAACAGTGGCTCAGGGTACAGTGTCTGACATTTGCTTCATTACAAAGGATGGTAATTAGCTGTCTCGCTGTCGCTTGCGCTACCATTTGAGTCTCAATTAGCGCAAGTATTAAAGGAAAGAAATACGGGCTACAGCCATGATTTAAAAGGTTTATTTATACTGTAAAAAGTTTTTTTGCTCCGCTTATAGTTATTTTTCCTTTAGGACCTCATATGACAAATCTCCTTTCCGATGTTTACAGTAGATAAATTGAAACCATAGAAACAGCAGCAACTGTAGCAGGGTCACAGTTATACATGCCCATTCATGACAGCATTAATCTGAAGAAAGAGCCCCAGCTCTATCAGATCATTCCCATTGCATGATGTGGGTATTGGAACAGTTAATGGACTCGCTATGAAAGAGACAGTGCTGAACTTTGGAGACCCTCTCTTGAGTCATATCGGAGTGGATTGTGACCACAGTTTTAACTCCTTTTCAATCATGCCATTGTGGCATGGCACTGAGCGCCGCCATATGGTTCTGATAAAGCAGTTATAGTCTTCAGCACAACCTGAACACCATAACTTTTCATACATTCCCAATGTTTTCCATGTTGACTAAATCACAACCAGACAGTCACAGGCCGGTTGTTTGCAGGAAAAAGGCAGACGCACACAAGTGATGAGATTTGTGAGGGCAGAATTTACCAAAACGTTTTTTTAATTGTGTATATCTTCGAGGTAAAACTTTACTACAAAGTCAAACATTTGGACAAGGAATATAGTAGATTAGCCATGCTCATACACTGAAGATAATTGTGTCACTCCTTTAATTGTGCCTTCATGCACTAGTGGGCATGACACCATTAGTGGGTGCTGAGCTTTCTCTGACTTGCATCAAACTCAGAAGTTGGTCATTTTCTCTTTTTGGGTTAATGTTACAGTATTTTGCATCTCTCAGTAGAAAAGACAAATAGCCGGATAGAATTAGAGGCAAAATGGCGAAGAAAAGAGAGTAGAAAAAGGAAAAATATATATAAATACCTGAAGTAAACAACAACAAAAAATGCAGCGGGCACGATTGAAGTGTTTTCCCAAAACCACAACACTAAGCAGAGTCAGAGTGGAAAAGCCTTGAGCTGTATTTTGGGAAATTGGGCGTGTTGGAATGCTATAATGTGATAATTCTCTTTGAGGATTTAGAGGTCATGGAATGAAATGGCGTTAAACCACGTAGAGCCATTTGGACTGTGTTGAGCAGCTTTCGGAAAATACATGTGGTACGTTTTGGCTCGGTTCCTCCACCTCCTTCCACCCTGCCACGGAGCCCACATTATGCTGTCGAACCCTTGGGTTAAACTGGCCATGTCTATCAAAACACTATGACAGTACATTCTGTTTTTCAGATCCCAGGCCCTGCTAAAAAAAGGTGCGTAGCAAATTTAACTAGTAGAATAACATTTACTCCTTGCCACATGTTTAAGAGTGTTTCACAGTGAATGAAGTAGGTCCTTGGTTCCCCCCTTACTAGGCACGGCTTGGTAGCTACGTCAGCGGGTATAAATGTTCCTCGGATGTCACTTAGATTTTGTCTGGATGGAGTATTTGACTTGATTTTCTAGCATGAACACAAGTTTTTCCCCACATCCTTCTGCGTATAATGTAAAGCAGACTGCATTGCAGGGTGGCTCGAGCCAGCTCCCGGGTCCCATGAGTCTCTGCACACAGGGTAACGGTTCTTCAGCAGAATTGACAGTGACACAGCCAGGAAAGTCCTCAAGTGGATCTTTTCAGTTCTGTTTTTTCTTCCCCAGACACTAACCTGTTTTACTCTGCAGCAGACGGCAGTTCATTTTAAGTTTGCACTGAAGGAAACAGTCCAAATCTAAGATCGACAGCATGGTTTAAGACCCATGACTTCGCATTATGCCGATGCATGATTGTGGCGTTTTTGAAAAGCAACACTGGAAAAAGAGAAGGCATTTGGCTATAGGTTGGTTGTTTTGCTTTCTTTTCAAGTCTCAAATGTACCCCGTAAAGTATGTTGCCACGTTCATCTGTGCTCGAGAGTTATGAGTTCCCCGAAGCTCTCAAACATAACAAACAGCATGCAATATAGCGCTTTGTGAATGTGCCTTCAGTGGGTTTGCTGAATCATTTTACTGAACAAATGTGTCCTCAGAGAAAACTCAAAGAATATGGTTCTCAACAGGGGAAGGCAATATAACCCAACACATTGCTGTGGAAGCAGGTTTATTACCACTCTTTGCTTTCTGCTCGGTTCTGTATTTGCACCAGCTATTATACATACAGAACCTGATTTGTTACTTTTCCTTCATGACACATTCCTGAATCAATGTGTACTATATACAAAAGGTTGATTAAGGACAGCACTGCGGATTGGGTAGGCGTTGTGGGCAAACCATACTGAGTGCCGGTCTGCTTTATGTACAGACAAAAAATACTTGCTGACATATTGTGTTCTGCTTGTTTTCAAATGATGTTCTCTTTCCCATCTTAGATAATGTCTTGTTATCTCTTAATAGCATCACTTGAGACACGGCTGTTCTCCGTCTTTTAATGACAACATATCCTAAGTGTTAAAACAGCTGTTTATAATTGTTTGGACGTGTTTAGTTTGTATATTAGACAAAATACACGGCGTGGTTTGTGTCAGATTATTCCAGGGAGCCCATGTGTGTTCTCTCAGGTATGTGTGTTTGTCATTTTCTGTGAGTGGTTTGCCTGTCCCGTGTTTGGATCAGTGCAACAGGCCCCGTTTCAAGCATTCTGGCAGCTTAATCTGCGAGGTCATGCGGGGGTTATAAACCAGGAAAACAACAGCCATTAGAGGGAGTGACTCAAACTCTTCACATAAATCATCCGGGCCCTGCATATCATAAACACACTGTAAAACTTTAAAGCACAATTAATTGTAAGTAATAGCGCCAAGATTGATTTATTGCCTCTTTCAAAGCCTGGAGACATGGGGTGCATGACCTGAGTGTCACGTCACTCTTGCGAGGAAAAATGATGGATGTATTACTCATTTTTGGCTAAACGCACAGCATAAAAACAAACATGTGTTTTTGTGAGGGCTTTTATGAGACACTGAAGTGGCCGCGTTGCATTAACTGATTTTCCTCTCCTTCTGCTGGCATCCAATACAGAGGAGGAACGCCTCTGTGGCGAAGTATTTGTTGTCTCGACGTCTCTTGTGTTTAGCGGTGGAGTTTGAGGCCTGTCAGAAAACAGGCCAAGGCTGGCCAGCAATAATGAGATGTCTCCCTCTCCCATTTTGATATAAAGTTTTCATAAACTTTGCAAATCATGTGATCGCTCACGTAACTTTTCTCTTTTTGTATCTGTATAATGTAAGTCTTTGTTAAGTTTTATTAGTGCAAT